AACAGGTGGTAATTTAACAACCAAATAAGCAAAAGACTCTATGGAGACCTCCTTTGTGTAGGAAAGGCCATGGGAATTGATGCAATCAAAGCATTCAGGCTATTCTGTGAAGTTGGCAGTTTTCTTCTCCAAATATAATGTCAACTAATGTGTCTGCCACTATAACCACCCAGGCTACTAACACTCATCTGCTACTTCACTCCAAGAGGAGGTCTCTGTTTTTCTAAATGTTATGCTCTTTCACTGCTTCTTATCTTTGTTCATGCTGTTATTTCCTCCAAAATGTGCACATTTCTCCCCTTGGAGAAAACCTACTCATTCGTCCAGATCCTGGTTGCAACATTAAGTTCTCTCTTAAAGCTTTCTTAACACTCTGCCTCTCAAAGAAAGTCATGTAATAAGAACAGCTAATAGTTTACCTTTGGTTCCTAGTTGTCTCTTTCTCTCACACTCACCCACATGCGCGCGCATATGCGCGCACGCACAAGTTGTATTGAATTCCTAACGCAATTAAGGGAGACAAGGCCTTTAAAGAGACAGTTACAGTTAGATTTGTCATTAGGTGGATCCTTATTCAATGTGACTGACATCCTTATTAAGAAGAGGAGATTAGGACACAACATGCACAGAGGAAAGACAAACGTGAGGAAACTGGGAGAAGACAAGCCAAAAAGAGAGGTCTTCAGAAGAAACCAACCCTGCTGACACTTCGATCTTGATGTCTAGGTTCCAGAAGAGTGAGAAAATAGATTACCGTTGTTTACACCATCCAGTCTGTTGAACCTTGTATGGCAGTCCAAGATGACTTGTAGACCCATCTAGCTCCCCAACTAGAATACGGATTAGGGATCATGGGTAAGTCTCACAATATGGACTCACTAAATCTCTACTGAATGAATAAAGCTCAGCTGAAGGGAAAATAGGGAAATGAACTTAAGAAAGTAGGATTGGTGTTAATAAACAGTGACAGAAATGCTGGCCCCTCTTTTAATAAAAAATTGTAGAAGCGATCATTTTTCCCTTTTGTTAACTACAAATCTTATTTTCAAGTGCAAATATTTCAAAAAGAGATGGTGGCTGAATGTGATCTTATTCCTATCCGGGGCAGAGACAAAAGGAATGACACATAACTTTCTGAATAACTGATTTCAGCAAGCAATCTGGTCAATCTGAAAGAGGAATTGTAGTTATTATTGTATGTATTTGTAAATATTTCCTTTTCATACACTGAAAATACCAGCCCTTGAGGCAGATTAGGAAAACTCTGAAGTAAATACCTAACTCTGCTACATTAGGATCTGTGATCTTAATTTTTTTTAAGAAGGATTCTTCTAGCCTCGCAAATTCTCCATTTACGTGCAAAATTAATTTGCAATTACTGACAAGTAAATATCTTCATGACAAAGTATGAGGTGTCACAGGGCCCAGTGAGAGACCATGCTCTCAATTAGAGATCCACTCAAAACATAAATGACGATACAGACAGCGATACAAGAGATGACTCAAGCCAGTAAGTATAATCAAATAAAATTTATATAACAACCTCTATTAATCTCTCAGTCAGTACAGTGACAACTGTGAAATATTAAAAAGAACACTGGATTCAGGGTGGGAAAATCTGTAATCAAGTCCAAAAATAGCTACTTATGTACCGAGTGACTATGGAAAGCCACTTTGCCTAGCCTCCAATATTCATTTTCTTCATAGTAACATTAAATTACCATGTTATTTGGTTAAAGGGACCAAATAAGATTATATTTCTAAAAGCAGTTCATACAATACAGCTTGGTTAAAGGGACCAAATAAGATAATATTTATAAAAGCAGTTCATACCACACAAGGTGTCATTACCAATTATACCAGTGACTAAATTATCTGAAATGCTAGGCTGGTTGCAAAGATATCTGTGCCCACAACTCACTTTAGGTTCCCACTAGGAATGAGTCATTTACTTTCTTGTATTGCATGTGAAGTACAATCATTTCCCCTTATGCACAGTTTTGCTTTCCACAGTTTCAGTTGTTTATGGTCAATGGTAGTTCAAAAATATTAAATGAAAAGTTCCAGAAGTAAATAACTCTTAGGTTTTAATAGCATGCTACTCAGAGTAGAATGACAAAATCCCATCCTGCTCCCTCCCACCTGGGATGTGAATAATGTTTTAGTTCAGTGTATCCGCGCTGTATGTCAACTTGCTCATTAGTCATTTAGTAGCCATATTGGTTAACAGATGAAGTGTCATGTTATCACAGTGTTTGTGTTCAAGTAACACTTATTTTACTTACTAGTGGCCTCAAAGTTGCAGTAGTAGAAATGCTGACATCTTGTTATAATTGTTCTCTTTTACTAATAATTGTTTTAGTTATTGCTATTCTCTTACTATGCCTAATTATAAATTAAACTTTACCATAGGTATGTATATATATACAAAGATCACTCTAAATATGATGCCACTCAAGATCTCAATGGAGATTAAGGCCTACCTTTTTGGTTTTCCCTGGATTATCTCTTTCATCTGAGTTAATATCAACTTTAAAGAAAAACTCTCTCTCCATGTGGTAAATCCACTTCACTGTTATGAATGATGCAGTTTTATTATACAAATAGAAATCACTTCTAATAAATTTATTATAGAATCATCTAAAACTGGTAATGCAAAGAGTTTACTTGTTTAATCATTTTCATTTACCGTTGCATATTTATTAGTGATTTATTTGGTTGAGCAGGTTGTAAAACTTCAAAGCTGAAAATGAAAATAAGAGATATATGAATTTTATGAGTGATTCATTGTAAAACATTTGTAAAGGTGAGGATATATTAAGTAAAGATACAGTAGTAACAAGCATCCCCAAAATCTTAGTGATGTAAAGGATGTACAAACACAAGAGATGGATGTGAATGCCAGATGTGGTGTGTGTGGAGGAGTGGGGCCTGGGGAAAAACATTTGGAGGAGGGATACAAAGACAGCATTGTTGAGACAGGGAGGTAGTGTTGTTATATTGATCAACTGGACCAGGGAGAAATGTTCACATATTGAAATGATCACCTTGTAAGCTAAATAATGTGATTGAATGTATTAAAAAATGTAAATTTAAAAAATCTTAGTGATGTAAAACAGCCAAAGGCTTATTTTCCATTTGTGTCACATGTCTAGCCTCACTCAACAAAAGAACTCTGCTCATCACAGCTGCTCAGAACCCAGCTATCACAGCCACCATCTCAAATACGGCCATTGCTCTGCCAGTGAGACACAAATTGCTTCTGCTCTGAGTTCATCAACCAGAACTAGTTACATGACGCCATCCAACCACAAAGGGCCTGAAATGTCATTTTATAAGTACCTGTAAAAGCCAAAAATATTGGGAAAAAACTATTAATGACTACTTTAGTACTTAGAGCACAACTGATAGGTGATGAGAACTGTGTGCAAATTTATTAAATGAAGTGATTTCTTCTTTGTATAATAAGAATTTTTTTGAGATATTAATCTAATATACTTTGCTTTCAAGTCCTTAGTTCCTCCATGACTTTCTTACCCCTTAGTGAATAAGCACCTCAGAAGGAAGGCAGATACTGAGCTATAAGGTAGCTGCCCATCTTTGAGCTTGAAGCTGACTTCTTTCTGTAACTAGTAAGGGAATGATTTTTGAAGACTGGCTTTGTTGAAAATAGATTTTCTATACTCTAAAAATCAACACTTGTGGATATGGGTCACAGCATTCTACCATCATGTAGAGGTAATAATGAAGGGATTTATTGTGTAACAGGCAAGTCGGGGATGTAAACAATAAAATCTGTTATATTGCAGCAGTAAGAGTAAGTAACAAGTGCTACAGAAACAGAAAAAGAGTCATTATTTCTGTCTTGATAGAGGTGGAAGGCATATGTGGATAAGGTTTCACAGAGAAGATGGCATTTTTTACTCATGCACCTTCCTTTCTAAAATGTTTCTTCTCTGCCTGGACATTGAAGAATGATGGATGCCCTGGAAGAATATGAAGGGGTTGAAAGAAAGAGGTTTTTGAAATTGCTTGGTCACAAAATGAAAAAGGCTTTAGCTAGAATTACAAAAAAAATGGAAAAGGAGGAATGTGTTTGAAAGACAGAGGCAAATTCCACAGGACTTGTCCCACTGAGTAGGAGTGAAGAAGAAATGTGAAAGAAGGGGAACTAAAAAGTACGCTGAAGTTTCCATCTTGGAAGCTGGAGTGGATGGTGATCCAGCTAATCAAGACAGAGATACAGGAGGAGTATAGGGCTTGGAGATGAAGGTAGAAAGTTCTGATTTCTTCGTAGATTTGTTACATTTGAAGTGCTATGAGTATTAAGATGAATGGATCTACTAAAGAACTAGACACATAGAAGTATGATACTTATTCAAACCCCAAGGCATCTAGGCTACAAATACATGACCAAGACATTACTGATCAGACACTCCTACAAGATGCTTTGTTGTTTTCTTTTTTTTTGAGATATTTTCGCCATAGGGCATGTGCACTGGCCAGACAGACAGAGAGAGACATAGAGACAGAAAGCGAGAAATCGCCCCCCAGGGGGGATGGTCACGCCGCAATCCCTTCTCCTTCATTCTCCTCTCGGGATCTTGGGCACGCACGCACACACGCCTGGCGTGAGTTTTAAGCCACTGGGTCCGGGACGCGAACCGTGGTGGACTACGTGGGAGTCCAGCAACATAGCCATTACGCTAACTGCTGGCTCCCAAGATGCTTTGTTTTTCAATTTAGCAAAAAGATGAAAGCACCCTCCAGAGTCTTCTGCCCCACCTGTGTGCACATGTAACTGATGAAGTAGCACTCATCGCTACCTCCTTCAAAATGTGAACATCATACTTCTGCCTTCTTTCTGCCCCTTTGCCGCTTCCTCCCAGGAAGGAGAAATATCCATCCTGACCATTACGTTTGTGAAAGACCTGCAAGGCCTTGGCTGAGTTCTTATTTTCTTCTTGGAATTGAGCCTATCTGTAGGTCCCAAGAGTTCTCTAGACATCCCTTTGGGCAGGCTACTCTTGTCAGGAGGCCTGACCTGGCCAGCTGACATGATCAGTAAGTGGGTAAATCTTCCCAGCTCTGGGACTTAATTAGCAAATGGACTTGGCTCTTATACTAAGCTTAGTTACTAACTTGGTTGGTATCAGGAATAAAGATATTGCCACTTCTTGGTCTTACCTATTCAGAACTTAGATGGGAAGAAGAGAACGCATAAGGCCACTGAGACTCCACCAGCAGAATACTGTGCACAGAGTAAGCCATTGATATTAACTATATATACTTCTTGATAGGCTCTCACCATGTAGAGATCCTTCTTCCCCAGTCTCTCAATTAGCTAGGATTACAGTTGTGACCACACCTGGCATGTGCAAGCTGGCCCAGAAACCAAACTCATGTCTGTCATGCAGCTTCCGACCTCCCAGGTGGGGTTATTTGTGTTCCACCATGGCTATGGGAGCTGTGGCTTTACGCCAGCCTAGCAGCAATGGGGTGTCCAGTTCTGAGGAATAATGTAAGCATTGATCCTGGTGGCATAGTCTTCAAGTTTAATTCCATGGCCTTCTAGGAAATTCTAAAATATATCTTTCAATAAATACCTTTTCTTTTTAAATTAGCTATAATTATTTTTTTAATCATGAGCTTTCACCAAGACCCTGTGATTCCAATGATATGGTAATTTACAGTCCCCCAAACATATTCAGTACAGGCAGAATGGACGAAGGGTGAGTTGCAGAGTCTAGAAAAAGGCGTGGAGGACTTGGGGGTAGAAGACAAGAGCTAAATTGCAGTACAACATCATGTCTCAGGGAAAAAGTGCCTTTGGTCTCAAGAAAATTTTTTCTCTTTGTCAGATCACTTTAAACTTCCTGCTCCATTGCTGCCCTCACTGTGTTTAGTAGAGATCAAGTCCATTGTAAAAAACGTTTCTCTCTCCACAGCCACTTCTTGGATCTCTTCTGGAAACCTGCTGGGCTAGTTGATGTTTCCCCTAGTCCTCATTGCTGCTTCTAAATGATCTTCTTTAAAACCACCCAGGACTGAATTTTATGATGTCATCAGATAATCCATTCTCACTAAACCTAAAAAAAAAAAAAAAAAGAAGTTTAAAACAATTAAAAAGTCACAGAATATTTTTATCTGGCCAGAAAGGTTATTTGTGTCCCTCTGGAGTAAAAATTCATCCTAGGCCCTGTCCAGGAAAGCACTAATTTAATCATTTAATTTCTATCATCATAGATAGGTTTTGCTTGCTTCAGTATTTTATGCAGATGGAATTATATACAGTGTGCACTCTTCTTCTGGATCAGTTATTTGCACAAGACTCTCGTGGTGGCGGCACCAAAACCATGCTCCAGGATAGTAGGAATTCTCTCTAGGACACAAGTTCTGTGAGTCAGTTCTTTAAAACTCCCTTGACCAACCAAGAGAAAGGAGACGTGTAGTGCTGCTTGTGATACTGAAGGGGTCCCTTTCCTTCCAGCTTGCCAGAGCCCAGGCAGCCAACTCCTCAATGTCTGCCTTGTGAAGCCTGGAGTAAATAAATGAACCGAGTCGACCTGAACTACTGACCTACAAGATTGTGTGAGACTATAAATGTGTTTTGTTTTTAACTCCTAAGTTTGGGCTAATTTGTGTCAATGAATTTTAAACGTTGAATCCATAAAGAACAAAAAGCTTTATTTGGGGTTTTAGAAGGTTTATAACCAGAGCAGCAGATTCAGGTAAAAACAAATCATCCCAAGAGGAAGGAACAAAGAGAGTTTGTAAGGACAAAGTTACTAATTCACTAGAAAGCAATTACAATTCTTTAAAGAGGGGCTTCTTATTAAAGTTAGAAAGGAATGCAGGGATATATGACCGATGGAAGGTAAAGAAGGAGTGTACCCTGGTAAGAAGGACGGCCATGAAACAGGAAGTCTAGTGATGTCCAGACAACATCTTGAGCCATTTCAGGTGCCTTATTTCTGATGCCTGAGGCCGAGTGGTGAAGCAAACCAATATATCATGTTCCTAAGAATGTGATACATTCCAAGATATGTGTAAGTTTTATTTTCTGATCGTCTCCCAATTTCACTTTTTAAAGAGCTTTATCATTTCTTTTGTCACATTTGTTACAGCAGCCATACAAAACTAACACAACACCCTCTCTGAAAATAGTGTCCCCTTGCCTTAGCACTATTGGAAGAATTACCAATAAACAAAAATTTCCTTGGTACTTATTTTTATGACCGCAATTTGATCCCAACTATCTGAAGGAAGACATTTCATTTAAATGAAAGCACTTGCTCTTGGCTTTTATTTGTAAACTTATCAAATGCTTCTGAGGATGTGAAAGAACTAATGAAATCCACAGCTAGAAATATTTTTGCATAAACATGAAAGCGAAGGTATATTATATAGATGTAAATGTATGATTAGAGTTTGCATTTAATTAATCCATTTATTTAACAAATATTATTTGGGTGCCTACTATGTTCTAGTGCTGTTCTGGTTTGGGGAGGTATGATAGTACGTGATACAGAAAAAAAACAGTGCTGCTCACATGTAGCTTATATTTCAGAAGGTAAGACAAACTGGAAAAAAAGGATAGGCAGAGGAAGGGGAAAGGGAAATATTAATATAAAGGGGCTAGTGTGCATATATGGGCAGTGGGTGTGGGGGGCCGAAATGATCAATGGAATGGTCGTGGAGATGATCAACAAAAACTTGAATTTCAGGCCAAGACTGAGAGGTCTTGTCCACATGCCCTGAGATGCAACTTGTTGGCCATGCTAAGAGACCTAAGGAAGAAGGGGACCCTGGAGGGCTCGGCACATCTGCCTCATGCTTTCACAGGATCATACTGGCTGCTGTGCCGAGCACAGACTACTGGAGCAGGGATGGAAGGAGGGCACAGATTAGGAGTCCGTGCTGATACAAACACATGCTTTACCACACACATCTGTGCTCATGCATAAACACATACTCACTGATAAGATCTTGCTCTCCGGCAGATAAGAGCTTAAAGATGTAGAACAGCTCACTCCAACGTTCTTGTTCTACATATGTTGTTCTTTCCTCTAAAACTGAGCTCGCCTGTAAAAATCACTTGCATCTATTCCTCTCGATACACTAGACCTTTATTCCCTATATTCTTATTTGAGTGTCATCATTTAGACAACTGGAAAAAAATTAAACTACTGTGTGTTTATTTCTCTGTGGACACATTTTTCTCTTGCAGTTTGAGCAGGTGACTTCCTGAACCAATGCATGAGATTCAGTCAAGAGTGTTGTTCCCCCAGTACCAGGTACTCAAACGATCTAAGAAGAGTATTTCCAAAGTTAAAATAACAGTGTCTTGTGAAAACAGAATTTACATATAACTCCATATCCCTGGTAGTTTTTGAAGGTTACATTTTAGAAGGTGCAAAGAATTTTTTTTGTTTGTGTTATGCCTTTCCTTCAGATTATCTGTGAAGTTCAGAGACATGTTTACATCATAAACTTACTTGGCACTCTTTAAATATTTATTGAAGAATGAATTAATTTCAGATGTAGAGAAAACTCAACAGATCACAGTGGGCTATAGAACCAGTTGTTGAAAGTAACTATGAAGGTAAAGCGCAACCAAAGGAGGAGTTGTTTTGAACAAACGAATGCGCTTCAAGATAGGATCTAATAAGAGATCATTAGAGCTACTTGAGCAGTTGGAAGTGTCACCCAAAAGAACTGTTCCTTAGATTTCCCAGAATGTGAATTAAAAGAGAAGCGTAGCTGCTTGAAAACATGGTGGAGATTTGAAAATGCCCAGGGCACTGAAGCCTTTGCAGTTGTTCCAGGATGACTCTATTCTAACTGTGACAACAGATCCCACAGGGTACCATTTTCCAACAACTTCTGAAAATTGTAACAATTAACAGTATTCTTCTCAAGAGAAAACCCTTCTAACACGGGTTTTCACATTTCAAGCTGAAAGGAACTCCCCACAAACAC